AGCCAAGCTGGCTTGTTCCTACCAGCATAATAATACTTGTCCAAATTCTGCTGGTTAAGCTGCAACTTTCCCCAGAGGACAACACAGAAGTTTCTCAATAGATTCAGTATTACAAGTTGAAGCTGCTGTTTAGCCCAACAGTACCAGTCACCACCAAAACTACAATATTTTTTTGCAGGGATCTCATACAACTCCATTCTTCCAGATATACTCACCAGATGCCCCTGGCATCAGGCCAGTCTCGTGCCATCCCAGATGCCAACAGAAGAGGAGAAACTGGCTTGTCAAACAAGAAGTGGTCGTCAATCAGCTGCTGCTGCTCTGCATCAGTCATGTTCCTCAGAGCATAGTACTTTCCCTTGAGATCACCGTCCAGACTACCCAGAGCTGAAAGAGAGAGGCACTTTCAGGATGGGACCAAAGGTGTTAAGACATTCCCAGCACTTTACAGACCACACACACAGTATGGCCATGTCTGATCTGCTGCGTTTGGTTCCTCCCTTGCTTTCATCTGCAACAGCAATGCCTTTGTGGCATTGCAGAACTTGAGGCACTATCAGATGATGTGTCTGCACCTTCCAGGCTTATACAAGTAGCCTTTGTTCCCTTACATGCGGTATAGAATCCTTACTGCTGCAGAACTTACAAGTGGACTGCTTTCTTCCAAGGAGAACCAAGGTCATGAATATAACAAACAGTATTATTCTAGTCAAGGACTATTACCCTGCCCTTGAGAGGTTTTGGAACAACCACTCTCCCAGCCTCCAGAATATGCACCTTGAGCATATCATCATTCTTTTACCTAATGGCATTGGAAGGCAACAGAAACAACTTCCAGCTGAGGAGTTTCACTGAAAACTAAGACTTACTCTACTCAGCTGCAGATTTGCAGCAAGACTACACCTCTAAACAAGCTGAGCATTAATGAAAGTAAATTAAAAGCAGCCACAGAATACTGCACACCCATGACTCAAGCCCTGTAGTTGCCACATACCTGTTACATTTCAGGTTTGAGCCCTGACGAACCAACTTCTTTCACCACACACACAGACAGAAGCTTTTGAGATCAGCAAAGGTCAACTTAACACAGCCCAACTTCCCTCTGACACGTGCTCTTGCTCTCAGCTACACACTGCAACGCTGAGGCAATGCTAATGCAATGAGCCTTTTCCAGGGAAGGCTTCGTGTTCAGACCAAGTCTCCCGGGAGGTGGCTTTTGCCAACTGCCTCCATTTTCAAACTGCAAAGAACAGCTTTTGCACAAAGGACAGACATATTTCCCTGATGCACCCAGTTCTCACTTACCTTCAACAGAAAGCTTCTCAATAGCCCGCCTCTCTCCTCGACTACAGTGCGGGGGGAGACAGAATCCACGGATGCTTCTCCCAGTTCTGACACGGGAACTTAGCACATAATTGGGATCCAGGTCATCACCTCCCTATAAATTGGGAAATCAGAGAGTACAACCCTGTTACCAAGATACCTCCCCTAAATACATTTGAACGTGCACCTTACACTTGAGGTATTGACACCTTGGTCTGTAAGACCGTGTCTTACTGCAGGACTATTTCCTTCAGCATTAGGTCAAGTATGTGTGACACAATCCTTGTTTAGAGGCCAAGGGTACAGCTACTAAGTAGTCCTAAAAGACAGGGATACCACCAGACCATCAGTTTTATGTCCATTTCAGACTACAATCTGGGCTTCTGTTACCCCTTCAGATCTGCAAACTAGAAGTATCAACATGATGCAGAACCTTCTTTAGGTAGGTGTTTACTCTTGCAAACAAAACTTATTCATTACTGTTCTCCAAACTTTCTTATTTTCAGTATGACCTACAGCAAGCCCATCAACATGTCATCAGGAACTCCTAGAGTTTACAGTAACATTTGAAATCCATAAACCAGGCAGAAATCCTTACTCCTAGCCATAATATCTATTCGATAGTATGACACCATCAGTTGATATTTAAGATCCAAGATCAGATAGCAGGAAGTGTTTAATTTTTATGACAGGCCATGACTCCTAGGACAGTGTTGTTTAGGCTTGACTACTACAGCCCACGGTTCATGGAAATACATAAAGGTGTTTGGCACAACCTGTGCCACAGCAGCACCTGAGGCAAGCTCCTGCTGCATGCCAGCTGCCTGGTTCTACCCAGCCACTGACACCCTACAGCAGCAAACTCTTCAGTCTGACTGCATCAGACTCATAGCCCATGTGTCTGTGCTCCATGGGAGTCAGGGGACAGAGCCTGAACAATCAGTTTAGGCAGCTGCCAACAACTTTACAGTCCTCAGACCAGTAACCTGTAATCGATCAGAAGTTTATACCTGCAGGTTATCAGCATTCAGGTCGGTCTTGTGCTGATCGCTTGGTTTGTAGCCACCATGCCTGTCTTCAATAACTGGATCAAAGAGCTCCTTAAACACGTCATAGGATTCTTCATCACCAGCCACACATCCTACTGTCATTATGAAGGGATGGCCTGAAGTGGTAATAAAGTCAGAAGAGCTAAGTTTGGGTGACGTTTGGCTGTACTCCAGCGCAGCACTAACCAGGCAAGTTCTTTAGTGGCAAGTCTAGTCACTTAGAAATTCATTCTTACATAAAAACATTTGGAGAGACCCTACATTTTGCACTTCATCCAGTTAATCAAATGCAGTGCTATGGAAACCCATAGCTGTTGTCATTAAACCATGCTCCTTTGTCAAGCTTGGTTTAGGACAAATTTGCACAGCACATCTAATTTTACTAACTAATTTAGATCACTGGATAGAAGTTATGTCTAAACAATCATGCTTTGCTGTAAGCAAGCATGCTTCGCTTTTTTGCTCCTTCTGCTACAGAGCTACATTTCTGTAGTCTGCTCATAAATACCACCTCCACAAGATTAGTTTTAAGTCACCATATTCAAAAGCACCAGTTACTTCAGCTGGTTCACACGGAATATTCTCAACGCGTTTTACCAGGATTATCAACCCCAGTCTGAATGACATCATCCAGGGTGAAGCCACTGGGCGTGACTCTGTCTCTCAGTTTCGTGTATAAATCCAGGGTTAGAACTTTGGCCATGTGGTTGTTGTGGGTGCTCAGGTCCGGGTACTCCTCATCAGGAGGCAGTCTCTGATTATTTAGTTGGGCCATTTTGATATTGCTAGAGTAAAAATAAATACTGTAATGTTAACATGTAAACACATCTGCTCCCCCTTTTTCATAGAAGTGCTAGAGAACATCACATAACCAGTTTGGAATAAGAACAGACCAGGACAGCCAGGTAAGCCAACATTCCCCCCCCTCCCTCCCTGGTTGCATTATAATTAGGATGTATTTGGTTTGAGGTTTTTGGTGTTGTTTTTTTTTTTCCTTCAGATTTAAAGTATTTAGCAGAGTAGTTACATAATTGAAGTGTCTGGGAATTGATATGTCAGATCACAGCATGGAACATGGTTTGAAGGAGCACAGCCTCTTAATAAGGCCATGCCTTTAGCGCAGTCTCTCAATGCTTTGCAAGATTTGCCCCTCAGCAGCTCAAGAGTTTTGGGTGCCGTTGTCAAGAAGCACTTCCAGTCAGGAGGGAGAACAGATCATTATGCAGATCTAACGGTCCCATTACCTGGGTTGTCAACCCCAGTCTGGATGCAATCATCCAGGGTAAATCCACTGGGGGTCTGTTTATCTCTCAATTTCTTGTACAGGTCCGGGGTCAGCACCTTGGCCATGTGATTGTTGTGAGCTTTCAGGTCAGGGTACTCATCCTCAGGTTTGTACTTCATCTTCAGGAGGTTGTGGCTGTTTGAGAAGGGCATGGCTGACCCTACCGTAGTCACTAAGGGAGAAAGAGGGGAAGCCTATCACAGGGGGCTTGGTAGCCTCCGAACCGCCCGGGGGAACGCCAGGCACCCAGGCAAGGTCACCTTGGCTCGTGTTCCACCCGCGCCTTTCACACCTTTGCTGCTACACCGCTTTCCACAAGCGCCAGGAAGGAGGAAAAAAACAGAAGTTCTTCACCTCCACCAGCCT